TCTAGCCGCCGGCCTCGCATGCATTAAGTCTGGATCTCCTTCAAACGAACCGCGTTCCAACACCCACAGGAGCTATTGGACCCAGTCACCTTTGCTACTCACCTGCCGTGAATGTAGAGGCCGAAGAAGCCAACGAAAGACTAGGAAAAGCTATCTCAGACGCTTTGCACAACTTCAATCCTGTTTAACAAGGCGTGAATGTCACGCTGCTGGACCCCGTGACCTTGCGGCGGCAAATCAATATTTGTACTCCCATATGTCCATTCGCGCGGTCTGTTTTCTGCGAGGTTTCGCTCGACCTATTGTCAAAGGTCCTTCCGGTCAACGTGTACAAGCTAGTTACATTTATCATAAATGCGCTGCATACATCCATCCCTCGCTTAACTCAGGTCGGGTCGCCCGGGTGTTCTCTACAGTTGCCGGTAAACCTGCTAAGGCTGGTTTCCCAGATGCACTCTGTGGAAAGAGGTCCATTAACTACAACGAATTAGCCTTGCTATTAACTGACTACTCTGTGGTTCTGATAGATGTACGGGATCCGACGGATTTTCTGGAAGTTGGTCATATCCCAGGAGCCATCAACATTCCACGTGAGTCAGCGATTTTACCTTCCTATAAAGTTATACAGTTGCTGACCTTAAGTCGGCTTTGAAACTCACAGATGAGGCCTTCCATGCGAAGTATGGCATCGAAAAGCCGAAATATACAGATGAGAACATAGTGTTCTACGGTTTATCGGATGTGTTGTCTACTGCTGCAAGCGAGATCGCCCATGGATTGGGTTACAAAAAGTAATTTGTTTTGTCAGTTATTGATTCCACAGATCTAAGTTTTATCCAGAGGGCTGGACTGGTTGGTCCACGATGTTGCCCTAAACTCTCGGAATTGTACAAATTGACTCAGGACGTAGCCGCAAACGGGATTTCAACCATTTCTCCTTTGATTCACTATCTGTATACTGTATCTGGTCTGTTATTATCCATTTTTGAACCCTTTTACTTGCCTATTTTCACCAGACCAATACACACTTTTTCACCCAGATCTCACGCGTTATTGGCTACCGCTTGGTACCAACTGTCACTCTAGTGCGCTCTAGTGTTTTGGCATTTGATCGGGGCTAGGCAGTTTCACAACTGAACACTGACTCATGTAATGGAGTATCCTTTGAAGACTTCAGAAGGTTCCGTGGGATTTCCTTCAACATACAATTCGTTTCAGTTTATCATCTGTAAACTTTGTACCATTGACAATGGTTCAAGATGCTACAGTTTCAATCGCCAAACGCGGGACAGTGTGGGACATACAGTCAAGCGTTGGAGGCGATGTTGAGTCCAGTTGGTTCGCGAATCTGGTACCTACACATTGAAGGTGATTGCTGTAATGCACAAGTGCCATTGACTTCGCGACTGGACGTTTCCGCTAGTGTCATTAACCATCGTTGAGTTTGGTCCCGGCGTCGTCATCCAGCGAGGCGGAATTTGTTTACCCAACTAGGTTTACTGGTTAAAGTTTTCATAATTCCAGGTGAGCGAGTTGACCCGAGATTTTGGAGAAATTTGAAGCAGCACATCAATGACATGGTTGGAGAAAAAGACCGGAGTGGCCAGCCTTGTATTACACCACTGGAACGCAGTTAACTCAGGCGAAAGCTTGCAGTAGACGCGTGCTCGTCCGCAGGAGTCCGCATACAATGCTCCGTCGTGAGGACTGGATCTTACTGTAATGTGACGGTTTGTGCACCTCAGCGACCCATTGAGCTGTCCCCGCGACACTCACAGAGTCCCTCATACCAGGTTGGCCAACGGTTAGAGGTCTGACGAACACAGTCTCCTGGTCCTCCACGTTGGGGTTGGAACATGTGACGGCTTGTTCGTAGAAATTGTAATGCATTTGCATTTCCCACCAGGCACCGCCGCCTTTTTGTTAGGCTTTTAAGTCAAAGGCTTTGGTTGGGAGCCCTAATCGTTCTCCCGCCTATGTGTGGGCGCCCTGACACTGTCACAGCCCACCTACCATGAACTGCATATACACAGGTTGGCTCATGGTACACCGGCCGTCACGTGGTGCCATCAGCCTGCATGCAGCAGGGCGGTTAAGCGAAAAGATTGGCTCATGGTACACCGGCCGTCTCGTGGTGCCATCAGTCGGGCCGCCTTACTCGCTGCATGCAGCATGGCGGGTAAGCGAAAACATGCCACTGTTGACACCTTTCTCTTTCACGTACTCTTTCTCCACCCTCTACCACTCCATTAATAACTCCCTTCTTGTTAGGCCCAGCACTTGGAGCTGATGATTCCGCATCGGTTTTGCATGTAGCATCTGCTCGGCACATTGCGCCGACATCGTCAGGTATCTCCAAATCGATTTTCAAGCCTCAAAATCTAGTCTATCTGGCCGCCTTCAATGTCCGTACTCTGAAGCGAGCAGGATATCAAGCTGCTCTTGCACTCACACTAGACTCGATTGGCATAGACGTGTGCCGTGTCTCAAACAAGAATTCAAGACGCAAGCGCGGTGATTGAGCTAACCGCTCCGTCAGTCTCCACTCGGTTTCGGCCACGCACCTCTGGTGATCCGGAGTCTGCTGCGGTGAAATGTGCAACGGTTAGTACAGTCTTGAGTTACCGGGCGGAAGTGTTTTTGATTGACTGGATACATGTTGATATTTGCCTCTATGCGGTTCGTCTGGCATACGGAAAGTTGATGGATGTCTATTTATCGTCTGTCAAGCATTACCCTGGAAGTTCGTGAACATAATAAGCTCGTATTCCCAGGCTTCTGGACTTGTTAAAATATACGGCGAGCTCTCCATCCGTCATGGATGCCCACTCTTTACATTCCTGGGTCACTTCGTGGTCGTGGAGATGAGACGAACGCTGGAAGATCTCCAAAACCCTGGTGTTCAAATAGCCTCTGACGAAAACCTTTACCGAGAGCCTCAGTTAACCATTGTCATTTCTTCTGAGGTACTCAACTTGACTCCGTTCACCCCATCGTGCAGGCCCGCTTAGCACTTCGCTCTCCGCCAGCATTACGCGTGTCGAAAGAGAGTAGTTCCGTCCATCAACTTCGACAAGTTTCAGTAGCTAGAGAGTATCGAGCTGATCTGGCTAGAAAGCTAAGAGGAACGTACAGTCATGTAGACGACGAAGATTGCTTGGTGGATGAATGGAGGCGAGCTACAAAATCAATGCTGTCAGCTTTCAGAACTCTTTGTCTAACCCAAATGACTCAACTCAATGAACACTGGGTATCTTCGAGATCAGCCGACCTCATTGCTGTCAGAAAGGCCGTACCAGCAACTAGAGATTATGATGGCGCACGCACCGGATAATCAGGAGCTTGAAGAGTGACAGGACGTTGGTGGATTTCGGAGGATTTCGCTGCGGGCAACAGCCGCACCCTGTTTCAACTGATCTGATCAACGGGTCAATGACAGGACCTTGGTGGATTTCGGAGGCCCAGGAGATGGTTTCGCTGCGGGCGACAGCCGCACCCTGTTTCAATTGATCTGATCAACGGTTCAAAAGAAGATAGTTGTCAGTGAGACAATATGCGAAAAAGACGGAACAGCAATTCACTCCCTCGGTCGCCGAATTGAGGGTGGGCTGAGCACTTTAAGGAACAGTTCACTTGGTCTCCTTCAACACAATCACTTGAAAAACCAAGCGAGCCCGAATGGAGCATTGACACCAACCCACCATCAGCAACCAAAATCCAGCGTGAGATTTCAATCCTGAAGCGCCACAAGGCACCGGACCCAGTTGGTCTGCACCCCGCACTCTTCAAAGGAGGGGAGGTCCTAAACAGTCTGACAACCACACTGCAGATTTGGAACGAAAACAGGATATAGGTCGAATGGAGCTCCTCGACCGTCATCCCAGTTTTCAAAAAAGGGATCAAGAACGTTACGTGCAAACCATCGTGATATCAGCATGGTATCCGTCCGATATTAAGTGTTCTCTGGCATTATTTTGCGCAGGTTGATGGATAATCGGAAGAAATTCGTGAGAATCAAGCTGGGCTCTCCCCTTGGGGACGAGATAGCCCAAGTGGTTAGAGCGCGAATTTACTGACCGGAAGGTCCGTGGTTCGAACCCGCCCTCTGCCTCTCGACTTCCCCTGTCTAGGCTTGGGCAACCTGGCAGTATCCAAGCTCTCGTGCTTCCTCCGAGTAGCATGGCAGCTAGGCACCGGAAGGGTCTTACAGCTGAACTATTTTTTCGCCCCTGTCGGAGACGAATCCTTGAACAGCGCCACTCCTTCAGACGTCCCACGTTGGTAGTTTTTCTGGATTTGAAAGCTGCTTTTGATTCTGTCGTTCGTCAGCAACTTCGGCAGTGTGTGGTGATCGAAGATGTCCTTTCCAAATTTCTCTCCCTCGTGGGGGTACTCTGTGGGCGCATATGAGTATACGGCAAGCTGTCACCTGAGTTCACTACGTCCGGTGTTGTAAGACAACGTTGTCCTCTTTCCCCTTCCCTCTTCAACTTTGTTATGGATATGCTGCTTGAAATCTCTCTGCCTGTCCCTGAAACGTCGGGAGTCGAAACACTCGGGACGTTCCATCACGGGAACTGAGCATGCAGATGCTGTGTGAGCCAATCGACGTGGTAGATAAATTTGTTTTCCTGGGCAGATGAATAGGTTCCGGTGGACTGGCTGGAGATGAGATTATTTCTCGAATCGGAAAGATCAGGACAGTTTTTGCCAGCCTCCGACACCTCTGGCACCCACGTGACGTCCGCTTATCTGTTAAGAGAATGGTTTACACAGGTGGTGCGATCCATACTACTTTATGGATCATCATCATCGACAGCATGACATCAATGTTCAACACCAATGCTTCACTGCCGTATAACCATTATTTGTTTATGTATCATAGAGGTGGCCCCTGCGCGCAGAGTACTTATGGAAGATGTCAGCGTTTGACTATCGGTGTCTCCAAGGCATTGGTCAGGTCTGTTGGGGACATTGGATTAGCAGTTCTGAGGTACGCCAGATGGTCTTAAGAGGAATGAACTTCCCCTTGACGGATGAATTACTCGCTCTTCATGGGTTACGCTGATCAGCACATGTACTTCGCATACCAGGATTCGCCTGCCTCGCAGAACTATTTTCGCCCAGCCCTGTGGCGAATGGAAGCGACCGAGAGGTGGACACCGTATAACCTGGCAACGAAGTATGAAAACACTAACCAGTAAACTTAGTCGGGTGAGCAACTGCCGCCTCCCTGGACGGGGACCCCGGGGACTCAAATCACCAATAATTAATGACATCGGCGGAAATGGCCCAATCGCGCAGTCACTGGCGCTCGTGAATAAAAGCTACCGCCCTCAATACGTAGCTACCCGATTTCCAAACAAAGTGAACATTCCTTCGCCTCCAAGGCTTGGTTGTCCCGCACTCTCGTTTCCCGGTGATCGAAACTGTAGCAGCTGATACCAATGTGCCTATGTTGCACGTTTTATAACGGATAAGTTGAACTGGATTGAGGGAACGTATGGACCCTATTACAGTCCGCCAAGTGTTAAGGCGAGAACTTACTAACCGGGGGTCCGCGATTCGAACTCAACCGCAGCATCTCGACTGCTCCTGTCTGAGATTGGGTAAACAGAGTATCCCAACCAGCGCGTTGACTTTGGGTTTGTTACAGCTTAAAGAAATATGTCCAGTCCATTTTTGTTGTAGACTAAGTAATGAGGCGTATTCCGGAGGGTCTCTTAAACCCCCGATGTTCACACCCATTGAATGGGAACCTTGCTGACCTGGATTATGCAGACTACATTATCTTTTCCCTAAAACCTGACCGAGGTCATCTGGTTGTTCGGAACTTGCTACGTGCCCACAAAATGCAAAGTCATGCTGCGGGACG